TCAGAGAGATACTGTTCAGAAGGGGTCAGTATATTATTATTATTATTATTATTATTATTATTCAGTAAGAATGCATTAAACTGGTTTATATTGTTATATTATATTATTGTATGTTATATTATATATATATATTTTCTATTGTATTTATATATAATTAATATACATTTACAAATTAATATCATGTAATATAATATAATAACAATACATAATAATAATAATAATAATTATTATTATTATTAAACAAGAATGCATTAAATTAATTTATATTTTATTCTATTCTATTATGTATTGTATTTATATATAATTAATAATACATTTAGAAATGTATTTAGTATAGAATAGAATTTAATAGAATAGACTAGAACTATCACGTTAGGGAGGATGAAAATGATTACACAGACCATTATTTCTTTGAAATTATTAAAATTTCCAAATTTCTTTGAAATTATTATTCACCATATCTGTTCATCTCACTCCTTCCCTCCTATTTGGCTTGCTGGCGCCTCGGCATCTCCATCCCTCATAATCACTGAAATCACTCCCACTTTTGTCTCCCTGCACTCTTGTCTCTCTCTACACATCTCTCTGATGCTGTTAACAGGAATCAAAGCTTTTCTGCAGTCTAAAGACTGAGGCAGGTATTTGAGTCCCACAGGTGCTTTTTCCCAGCTAACCAATCCCGTCCTCAGGCATAGCTGTCATTCCTTACATAACTCAACCCTGGCACCTGCCCTCTAGCTTGGAACAGAGGGAGGGAGACTGAGACCAACAGCATGAGGGAGGGAGGGAGGTTAGTAGTGGGAGCTGGTTTTGTTTGTGAGTGAGTGCTGTCTTAGCTGGGGGCTAAAATAGTAGAAGTACACCAAGAGGGGGAACAAAAGCAGCTTTTACAGAAAGTACAGAGAAAGAAACTCTCCGCACACACACACTGCGCTCGAAACCTTCTCTGTATTCTGTTCCACTCTCTCTTTTACTCACCTCAGCTTGAGAATGAGATACAGGAATCATATTATCATAGGAGCACATCCACTGTATCATCTCTGCATATGTGTTTGTACGAGACTATGGATTATAGTTTCACAAAGTAGCCCTTCACTGTCTTATCATCCTCACGGACAGAGAAAACTAATGAGGAACAGGATACAATGAAACACACACGCATAGATACAAATGCAGGGACCTAATAAGCTCAGAGATGCTCGTCTGGTATTATTCACCTCCTCTCTTATTGAACAGGGAGGACAATAGAGCAGTGTGTGTGTGTATCTATCCACACGCTCCCACTGGAGACTTTGCACGCTTCTGTTTATCAGCACAAGGGGATGGCCGGCCTCGTAGCAGATACAGCGAGTGGTCTAAAATTAATCCCTCAGCAAAAACCATCCGCCTTTCTGAATAGAAGTGTTGTGCTTTACACAAACGTGCACTGTGCGGCTTATCTTTATTTTATCTGGAGCAGAGGAGATGAGCCATGTGTTAAAAAGACAGGCCAAAGTGTTACATGCTGCAACCGAAGGTTTTGAAGCCTCTCTTGAGCCTTTGCGTGCATCAAGATGGTGGAAAGCTCCACTAATGCCCAACTACCGTTACATCAGATGCACTTAAGGGTTGGCTAATTATCTCCAGCTCTTCCTTTTCCATTCATTAAATGTAGCAACTGCAACACAGATGCAATAAAGGTGATGTGTCCTCATTAATGGACTTTACAGGAGAAAATTTCTTGTTTGTGTGGTGGAAATTTCCGTTCACCCATACTGACATTCTGTGTGATATGTTGCAACATAGACAATTAGTTGAAAATCAATGTTAGTTGAAGCAACAAATCACCAAAATCCAGCTACACTATATATATATATATAACTTTTTTTATTTTTTACTCTTTTACTTCATTACTAATATGATCATTATTTATATGCTGTATAATATTATAAGAAAATAAATTAATAAGAAACGAATACTGTTATTCAGCAAAGACACAGTAAATAGATTAAATGTGACAAAAATACTTAGTTGTTGTTGTTGTTGTTTTGAAATGCTTTCCATTTATCGAAAAAATCCTGAAAAAAGTATCATGGTTTTCATAAAAATAATGAGCAGCACAACTCTTTTCAACATTGAAAATAATTAGAAATCATAGAATCACGTGACACTGAAGACTAATAAGGAGCTTTGCAATTCCAGATTGCATTTTACAGTACATTAAAATAGAAAACTGTTTTTTATTGCAATAGTATTTCACAGTACTGTTTTTACTGTATTTTTGCATGAGGGACTTTTCAAAAATATTTAGACGTTTAGTAATACAGTTAATTAGCTTAAGCATATGTTTTTTTATTTATTTATTTTTTACTTAATTTCAGGTGTGCATAAAAAAAGTGTCTGATTTTCATATTATCAGTCAGCTGTGTTTTAAAAGAGCCATTATATTTGTATTGAGGTAAGATGCTGAACTCTGTACAATTACAAATTCATAGAATTTACGACACTTTAGAAAATTGCAATTACAGAAAAGCAGACGTCATCATGCAATCGTCATTTCTTTCAGCAAACATAAAGCATCACACTCACAGCAGTACAGACATTATCCATCCTCTGCACAACGTTTATTAGATCTGACAACAAAGAGTTAAGCAATGGAGGCACTTATAGTCTGGACGGCAAGGTCATCTCACCCGTCTTGGGAAATGCTTTGTGTTCTCCAGAAGACCTTCATTGTCACCTGCAGACAATGTGAGATTAAGAGCAGTGCAGTCAGTTATTTCTCTGTGATACTTTGGAAGTTTCTCCTCACACTCAGAAACAATTTATGTGCAACGCAAGCAGCTTTGGGTGTTCAAAGAGGAGTGTTGCACAAGAACATGTTTACCTTGTAAAAATAAACAAAACAAACAAATCGCAGCTAAGCTCTCAAACCGAGTGTGTGGAGATGAAGAGGAGGCTGAGAAGTGGAAAGGGAGGCAGAAATGAAGTGGTTGTGTCTCCCTGTGGCAACTCCACAGCATGGCGCGAGGAAGGAGAGAGAAAGAGAGAGAGATTGGAAGTCAGAAAATAAAAAGAAATGTGGTTGAGGAACATTTCTGTATTATTGATAACAGTGAGTGGATGAGTGGAGTTCTTCTACTTGTTTTTACTTTCCCACTCCCTCTTTCTGTCTCTCTCTTTCTCTCTGAAGGTTTGTGGTTTGTGATTGGTATGTGGAGGGTGGATGTGCATCGGAGAGCTGGATGGCTGACAGTGGTCTCTGTCTAGCTCCAAATGCCAATTTGCGAGCTGTCTCATTCCATCTTGACGAAATGTCCTATTCTCTCGTCGGTGCTGCTGGAGGGAGGGGTGGGGTGTGAAGTGGGCTTCTCCTGTGGGAGAGCTGTGGCTTCTATCATCCTTATCAAACCTGGCTTCTGCAGTCACACTGGATTTAGCTAACACTTGCTTAATACACTCCTCACTGAGCCTTAGGTGTGTGTGAGAGTGTGTGTTTAGGTCTCTGTGTGTATTACTCTGGCATGTACAGCCAGCGTGTGCCAAGGGATTTGCTCTTGTGAGACGATGCATACATAGCTAGACGGAAGGGAAATAATGTATTTGCAATTGCTAACGGCTGTGAATCTTCGCAAAGACTTGTGTTACGATTACTGCGTAGATCAACTTTGCTTTTGTGATTAGTGGATGTTGCTTTGGATGGAAAGCAGCATCTGCCTGCTGAGTGCTAATTAATTTGAAATATTTAAGTTAGGGATACATGACATATACTGTATTATCTTTTAAAAGTTTATGGTTAGTAATAATGTTTTTGAAAGAATTCTCTCATTCGCACCAAGTCTGTATTTCCTTTAATTATGTTGAAAATAGTTTAATATCTTTGTGGAAACCTTGATACTTTTTTCTTCTTAAATAAATAAAAAGTTGAAAAGAACAGCATTTATTTGAAATATACATTTTTTTTTGTAACAATGTAAAAGTCTTTACTGTCACTTTTGATCAATTTGATATGACTTGGTCGTATAAAAGTATTAATTTAATTTAAAAAGTAGTTTTTATCAACAATGATTTTGTCAGTATGGGTACGGTTAATACTGGATATTTAACTATTCATTTTACATTTAAGTTGCAGTACCTTTGCCATCATCTAATAATTTAATAACACTTCTAAATGTAATCTTCAGCAAATCTCAAAATTAATCTTTTTTTTTCTTACTGTATATAACAATGTTGTGATGCCTAAATTCACTTGTAGCATAAAAATGACTGAATTTCATTTTTATCATTTTATTATTATTTTTTGTTTATTTACAGCAAAACTATATAATTTTAATTTAATTTGTAAATATCTTAATTCAAACATATATACATTAATAATAAGCTGATAGATTTTGGACAGCATTGTTTATTCTTTCTTTCTTTCTTTCTTTCTTTTTTTTTTTTTTTCATCTTTCTTTCTTTCTTTCTTTCTTTCTTTCTTTCTTTCTTTCTTTCTTTCTTTCTTTCTTTCGTTTATTCTTTCTTTCTTTCTTTCTTTCTTTCTTTCTTTCTTTCTTTTTTTTTTTTTTTCAGGGGAATATGTGTGTATTTTTAGAATGTCACTAGATGGTTACTAGGGTGTTCTGGAATATTGATTGAAAGTTGCTTACTGGCCAAAGTTTAAAGAGCTCACTGCCAAGTCTCTATGGTATTTTGGTCCCTCAATATAACTTGGGCTCCTCCTTAGGTTTTTATTATCAATAAAGCCTGATAGCTTAGAAAGTAATAGCACACCTTGTTTCAGTAATACGCAAAATGTATCATTCATGCCTGTGGCACAAATGGTGCAGAATAAGTTTAATACCTAAGGTAAGCTATATACTGTATATGAGGTAAAACTATTTTGTGAAATTTTGCATAATTTTGTATTAATTATACATAGTTGTTCCCTTGAATTAGAATGAAAATCATCCACAAGATGCCTGCTAATATCATCAACACGCATACTGAACTTCGACCTCTCTCTGTCTCTGTCCAATCACAGCTCCCACATCGCCGAGTGACCTTCTCCACAGCCAATCAGGCGCAAGATCTGCAGGATCCCTCTCAGCACAGTTACTACGACAGCGGTCTGGAAGAGTCAGAGACACCCAGCAGTAAGAGTTCTTCAGGGCCCCGTATCGGGCCCCTTGCCCTACCTGAAGACCACTACGAACGCACTACCCCAGACGGCAGCATCGGAGAGATGGAACACCCCGAGAACGGTAAGAAGAGGTGGTGTGTCCCCCTCCTTTTTTATTATTACTCCATCTACTCTCTTTCAGAACAATCTTTTTAGACCTTCTATATATTGAAGACTTTTTTTAAGAAATGGCTGGTAATGAGCTGCACTGAGCAGTTTACTTGTACACCCTTCATCACACGCTCGCTTTGCTTTAAAACAAAAAGTATTAAAATAAGGTCAATCTGAATTCATGAGCATTGCAAAAGTTTTTATGTGACCTAAATGTCAGAATTTAAGCAAATTAACCACTGATTTGAATATGTTGTCTATTAACTTCGTGAGCTTTGTCAACATGCACCTACATATACAAAAAAGCATGAATTCTTGGCAAGATATTGAAATGACCTAGTCATATTAGCACACGCACACCAAGAAGACCTGATATAATCCTCCTCCGCTGTAGCTGTAGGGAGCATAAAGTGAGGGAGGCCGCCTCTCCTTCCCGCCCAGCTGGAGGTGCTCCCGAACAGTCCAACAATCCTCAGCAACAGAACTCTGAGAGGGTGGAAGTTGTAGCCAAAAGGCAGGCTGGCAGTGAAAGCATTTAGAATTTAAATTACTGTGGAATTAATTAGTGCTGTGTATGTGTGTACACATACAATATAATATTCTGCTTTAAATTAAAGTTGAGCTCAGTTAACAGCACTTGTGGCATAACGTTATTTACCAGAACATTTTTGACGTGTCTTTCCTTGAAAAAAAAAAGACAATAAATTGGGTTACATTATGAGGGTAAGTATGATTTTAGTGTTAAAAAAATATATATTTTTTTTTTCTTACAAACCAGGCTGCATTAAATGATTCAAAATTGACAGTAAAGTCTTATACATTGTTTAAAAAAAAGATTTATATTTCTAATAAATGTTGTTCTTTTAAACTGTCCATTCATCAAAAACGTGTAATGGTTTACATAAAAATATTAAGCAGCACAACTGTTTTCATTCATAATATAATAAATGTTTATTGAACACCAAATCATATCAGAATGATTTCAGAAGGATCATGTGACACTGAAGACTGGAGTAATAATGCTGAAAATTCAGCTTTGCCATCACAGGAATACACTACATTTTAAAATATATTATATTCTGCATATTTTATTAGTAATAATTCTAAATATTACTGTTTTATTGTATTTTAATCAAATAAATGCAGCCTTAGTGAGCATATCAAAAGCATAAAAATACCAACCACAAACTTTTGAAAGAATGTATATCCAATTTTACAACTTTGTTGCCTTCGTTGCGTTGACACACAAAGCATAAAACCCTCAAATGCCCTTTAAAATTAAAAAGACCAACTTTGCAGCACAAATTAAAAAAATAATAATTTAATATTGTGGTTACACTTTATTTTAAGGTGTCCTTGTTCCAGTGTAATTATACATATAAGTACTGAGTAATATTAATTAACTACATGTATTTACTACATGGTTAGGGTTAGGATAAGGGTTACTTGCATGTAATTATGCATCATTTATTGTTATTATAATAGTAAGTACATGTAACGTCTCGGGTTACGTATGTAACCCTCCTTCCCTGAAGGAAGGAACTGAGACGTCACGTCGGTGACCGACGAATTGGGATCTCGCTTAGAGAGACCAATCTACTTTGAGTGTAAACTAA